CCCCAAAACCCCAAAACCCCAAAACCCCAAAACCCCTTTGATTTTTATTCATTAAATATAATTCAAAATGGATTATAGGAACTTATCTCCAATTAATGTCCTTGACCCAGATTACAGATGGTTCGATAGTAAGCCTATATGCCTTGTAATTTTTTCTAAATTTTTATATAATTCATAAAATATTAAGAAAATCTCAATAATTTCTTACAGAAAATGACTCTGGCATAAAACCTTTGCTCTCTGTTCAAAAAGACCAATGAAACAAGTTGAACCAATATTGAATATTTGAGAAAGGAAATGTCTCAAAATCCCCTCCTCCAATTTCTGACCAGAGAAAGTATGAACCAAATCTAACTCCTTTAGGAAATCAGATATGGATGTGAAGAGTGGCACTGGCAAAAGTACCAAAGCTCGAAGTACTCTTCCTCATAAATTTTAGAATCTCGGAGGATTTATACTAACCTGTATCACCCAAGCTTCAGCACCAAGATGCATTTCATGAAGATGGCTAATGCTTTGGGAAAAAGACCCCAGAACAAAACTATGAAGAACTTCGATATCTCCCAAGGGAATCTTGACCAAGAGTATTTTTACTTTATATTTTAGAAACTTAATCCTTGGAATGAGCCAGGAAGCGCCAAAGAATCAGAGCATGAACGCAAGTATGATCCTGAAGCAAATCAGGGGAAGGAGGAAGAACAGGAGCAATACGGCTGGAAATCTCCAGCCCTTCCTTCAATATTTTTATAGTGGTACAAAAATGTAAGGACTTTTCTCAAGCAATAGAATTAAATATGGGACTAAATAAGACCAAAGCTCTAGCTGACAGCAAAAGAGACTTTGCTTTTGTCTCTAATCTCAATTCAAAAGACTTCCTTAAGAAAATGATCAAACAGAGGCATCCAAGCATGTTTAACTGTGGTAAGAGAAGTCAGTCTAAGGAGCCAGCTCCTTTTTCAGTTACAAACTCAGGTTTCATGATGAGACCAAATTTGATAAACCAAGATGATGATTTTGCCCTGCAAAGCCCACATACATGCATTAATTCAACCAAAGCAAGAGACCAAAGTAGTTCAAATAAAGGCAAGCTCTGGACTCTTAAAATATTTAGACACTGAGCCTCTGAATCAAAATATCTCTACTGCAAAAAGGCCATTTACGAATGAGAGATTATCGAACCGGCTGCAGATCCTCCATACAAGTACAAACAAAAATACAGACTCACTTTATACACAAGACGTCATGGCTAAAATTAAGAAGGTAAATCCCTAGTCTAACATCTAAGGATTCACAAAGACAAATTGTAGTTATGTTCATCGACTGGAATCCTAAATTTGAAGCCAAGATGCAAAACCTCAGCGGCACTTTGGAAGGGTAAGCTCATCATGCTCTAACTTATATAGGAGCTCAACCAATACCCCTTTTCAGACAACTGAGATCACAACGAAGATCCCTATTGTCTTCCGTGCTGGGACTGAGAGCTATGTTACTGACCAGTTCAAGTGAAAGTTAATCAAAAACCTTAAAATGTGGAAGAAAGACGGGGCAAGTTTTGCAAAATAACCTCTAGATTTGATCAAACTACTGGGAGCTCTGATTATTCCATGAAAATGGAAAGATAGTAAAAACCCTGAATGAAGTCTCTGTGGAGGAAAACTTCTTATTTGCCTCGTTCAGTTCATTTCTCAACAAGAAGCAGACCTTGAGAGAGATGTATCTCTCTTCGTACTTATTTTGTGTAATTCATAGCCATATTGATAAGAAGGAAATTAAGCCACGTAAAAGAAGACAAAAACATAGAAGAGGTCATAGTGTCGCTAGCAAAGCCAACCCAGATCTTGGCAATCAGAATGGTAACTGTAAATCATAATTATAGTTGAAAAAGACAACCTTGATGAGACTGAAAAGGATATCAAGGCACGCGACACAAGCTGCGATTATGACCCCAAGATTAAGCATATCTTGCAGAGTATGATACTCTTTGAATTTTTAGAATCCCAACACTCAAGTTTTCCAAGAACAGGCAAGAATAATATCCGACTCCTCACAAAACTTAAAACTCGTGGGAATGCTTTCAGTGCTATTCCTTGTAAAGAAATGAAATTTCGAAAGAAAAAGAAAGGAAATAATACAAAGAATCAAATTCAAAGTGTCAATAACACTTCTCGGAATACAATAATCACCCAAGACAATCAAGATAGCCATAATAAGTCTGTAGGGAAGTCCACTTTTAGAGCACATAATAGTAATTCAAAAGGCAGAAATACTAAAAAGTAACAGCCAATTATTTAACTTTCAGGAATGACAGTCTATGCATGAATGACACGATTGAATTCAAAAATACCAATCGAAATTTTGGAAAATACCTCGAAGATCTTGGCATAAAGTCACCTCCAGAACAAAATGGTCAATCTATTGATCAAAGAATCAAGAATATTAGAGAAAAGCATTTTGCTGCAACCCAGGTAAATTTATCTAGCCAAGAAGAAGAGCCTGACTTAATGGCTGAGCCTCAGGCCAATGATGAAGAACACGATCATTCAGACTTAATTATTGACTCTTCGAGTAAATATGAAGAGAATAAGAACGATGGTTCTGAGGAAATTGAACAGCCAGATGACATAGGTAATAATTTCCTTCATCTTCAGAATCGTCAAAAGAAATTGAGTATGACCCTAAAATACAGATACCAAATGCTCCCTCTACTATACTAAGTGAAGACCAAGCAGATAGATATGAGAAAGTACTCAAAGAGATGGTCGAAATAGAAAATCTGATCAACATGAACAAGGTCATATTCCACTACAACATGCTTGAAAGCTGGTGAAATTCTATGATTTCATCCCTCCAAGCCAAGCAAGAGAAGTTTAGGATTAATAAATACGAAACAGGAGGTAAGCCCAAGGTCATTAACTTCTAGGTTTCTCTCCTCATGTCAAAGATTATTATGATAAGTTAAATATGGATAAGTTTAAGACCAAAATTAACCCAAATAAACCAGAGATCCTTGCATTGTCTTTGAAAAAGCAGCTACGATGGTTTTATAACCGAAGGGAGAAATATTTCGGACCTGTTAAGACCAAGTCAAAGAACCTTTTCGAGCACGTTCTGACTCTTGGAAGACTAAAATCGCCTAGTAAAATCCTGAAGATTTACAAAGAAATGAAGGGTAAGTGGCATCTTTTTATATGAGAAATAATCTCAGCTGTCTCTTTAGGGACAATAACCAAAATGAAAGAACCTAGAGTTAATGTTAACTCTAAATGCGTTGGAATAAGAAGGAACAAAATTATGATGAGAAAGAGAGATTCTCCAGAAATCACTGAGAACTACCAAAATACAGACATTACTCATGAATTTCATACAAATTTCTACAGTAATTTTCAGAATTATTTTAGAATACATGAAGAGCAGAGAGCGTGATAATGATTTGGAAAGGTAACCCATGTGATAACTTTTAGTCTTCAAACTCCTGAGTGTCAGATAAAGATCAAAAACCATTCTAGTTTGGTAACTTAACCTCCCTGAACATGTAGCAAAGTGATATTTCAAGCCAAGAGGACCCAAGATCCCTCAAGGTTCGATCATTGAATAATGAAATAGGTACTTCACCAAGTGTACAAAGGACGAAGGTTAAATCATGAAGAGAAGGAAAAGACAGACATATCTGGAAAGCCCCAGATACTTAATGAAAAAGAGTTTATAAGCATTCATCAGCATTTTAATCGTATTGAAAGCTTGTGCTTTGATGATCTTGAGAATAAAAACATTGTTCCCAGCCCAAACTGAGTCCAGAAAGTCGTATCTGAAATTATGTAAGATGTTATAAATATATTTTAGTGAAAATTTGGATAGAGAGAAAGAAACATTTGCAAAGACATGGATGTGGCCACAACCCGGCATTTCAAAAATAGAGGATCTGATACAATCAATAATAGATATTAACTCTGAATATATTTCTAAGAGGTACTTATAGAGTATAACTATAGATGTAACACATTCTTAGAGAAGATCAAATCGTCTCAAAAATTTTCAGGAAAGATAACTCAAATCCAGCTAAAAGAACTGATTTCAAAATGTCTGAAATCTCTTAACTTAGAATACGTAGAAGCTTCTGGAATCCTGATGGAAGTACGAAAGCAAGAGTTTTCTTCACTGTGTGAAGAATTTAGAGATTGTTTGTATCAAATCTTTAATTTACCTCCATTCCACTATCCGAAGCATGTGTTGCTTCCTAATGACTCATATGCAGGTAAGTCTACTTTCTCTGGGCTTTTATGACCATATAGACATCGACATTCTCAAAGTTTACGAGCCAATGGTGCATAAGTGTCTAAATGATGGCCAATATCATCACCATGGCCTCATAATTGTTCTGTCAAGTATGCTTTCAGAGCAAGAGCTTTAAGAAAGAATTTTATTAAATTCAATATTTTACTTTAGGAAGGGGTTTTGGGGTTTTGGGGTTTTGGGGTTTTGGGG